CTTGTTTCGAACAAGAAGCTACCTGAGAGGGCGCGTTATATCAGGATTTGTAGACAATTGAAAACTGTGATTAAGTAGGAAATTACCTTCGATAAAGATGCAAGGAAGGACAAAAAGAATTTCTAGGCGACTTAGCTGGCCGATGAAGAAAATGCACTTACCAGCCAATACTATTCGACCCACGGGATTCTCAGTAGACACTTACTTGAAACCGTGTTTGATTGACTAAACGATGCAGAATTTCAAGCTCTATCTTCCCAGATAACTGAGATCGAAAACTGGAGGGTGGCACATTTGGGCAATGTGTTTTATAATAATAGGCGGCCTGAGAAAATTTTGGTTCTTCTTTAATAATTTTATTCTTACTTTTAATTGTAAAACTCAAATCTTCCATTTTCATATAACATTTACCTAATTTAATTAATTCACTCGGTTCAGTAACAAATATTTTTATTGAATCATCAACATTGTTAATGTTGTCTAATTTTTTAATAAATTTTTCTAATAATTCAAATATTTTTATTTTTATATTAGATTTTTCATTTTTACTCGTTCTATTATTATTCATGAAGAAAAAATGAAATTATTTCTTACAGAAACACCAAATCGTCAAGATTTTTGGGAATTAATGATTAAAAATGAAATATTTACAAATTGTAAAGAATTATTTTTATTTACTAACAAAGAAATAGAAAATAAAAACTATAATGAATTACTATCTATTAAACCAAAAGATAAATCGATAATATTTTTTGAAAAAATTGATTGGAAAAATGTTGAAAATATAAAATATGTTTACAAAACTTGTGCAATAAATAATGTGGATAAAAATTTAAAAATATATGAAGAACAAAAATTAATTTTATCAAATAAAATGGCAACAATTAACATTGAAAAATTACAAAATTTATCAACAATTGGAAAATTTGATTCTATAAAATCGAATGATTTTATGAAAATTGAAAATTTAAATGAAAATGAATCAAATGAAATATTTCAGTTACTTTTTGAACAGAATATAATTACAATAGATGGACTACTTTTAACAAATAATTTAGAAAAATTAAATCTTAAAAAATATGAAATTTATAAACAAAGAATTATTTCAATATTAAATTGTCAATGTTTATATAAAATACAAATATTAGAATTATTAGAAAAAATGAATTTAGAAAAATTTGATAATGATAATATTCATTTAACATTGGAAAATAATTTACATAAACAACTTATGTACGATTTAGAATCATCATTGATTTTAAGACCAATTTGTTTTAATCATAAAATTGTTGAAGTTTCATTTTGTGATAAAATGATAGCACGTAATTATGAAGATAAATTAGAGAAATTTTTAATTGAAAATAGTAATATTGGTGAAAATAAAGATATTTATAAAAGTTTGACAAAATCATTACAAACTACAATTGGTAAATTAAATTTTTTATTAAAACCCAATTCATATTTAAATGATATTAAAGAAAAGTTTAATGAAAATGAAAAATTTGAACATTTGGAAGAATTAGAATTATTTAAAATTAATAGTTTAGATCAAATTATTGGTATTG